AAGCAAACACTTATTTATGATCAAGTCATTCGATTGGACGAAATCAATTTCAATTTACCGTTGCGTTGACTTTTATACATCTATGAATGAGGCTATTCTCAAAAAATGGAAAAATATTATAATTAAAAGTCACATCGGACAAAAACTGGATGCTGACGGCTGACGACATTCCTGGCGACCGTTAGGTGGACGAGCTGGCGCAAGCGACGCGGCGACGCAGCGGCGACGATAACGGCCCGACGCGATCTGCAAGCTCGACGCACACGCTGTCAACTTTCATCCTAACCGATTGCCTCCACCAAATTAACAAATGTTCTATACACATTTACAAAAATCTGGTGACTGGTGGTTTACAAAAAAAAAATGATGTGTTACAAACAACATCGCAAAACTTATTTTGTGCCTCAAAAAACCCAAAACATACAGCTAGATATGCTAATTCACTTGCGTAGATCATATTTTATACATTCTTATAAATCACAATCTCATCCATAATAATAGGTATAAAAATCAACGGTACTATCGAATCTGTTTATGTTCGTTGATAACTAAGAAATAAACCGCAGTGTTATGACTGTCAGCAAAGTATCAACTCGGCGATAAAGCTTCGGTTCGTTGTTAACGACGTTATCCGTTACTTTAATTACAGCTTTGTCGCCGGCCGCTCAGCTAATTATACGCACTGAAACGGATATGTAAAACGACTTTAGCGTATTGGTCGATCACAAGTCTCGCTGATTCGTGTCAGACATCCTGGCCGGCTGTTGCTAGCTTTAAGTCGACATAAAAAACAACAGTAAAGCTTTCTCGGAACAATATAAATGTTAGAATATAACATGGCCATTTAATGTCTCCATAAAAGATCGCACTAATTGCATGCTCAATGTTTTAAGAAGAAAAAAACAAAATAAAGATTGTAACCCTTGTTTGTTAAAATATCTCAAGCTCATAAAAACTGTATAAACATAACAAAAAGTTTTTCAAAGTCTTCAAATTGCACATGTAACATATGCTTAAACTCAAACATGGCGACAAAAGTACAATTACTTAATGAGACATTATATTATAATACATCCTTATAAAATTGTACCTGTATTTATTAATTTAAATTTATTTTTTTTTACAAATTCCAGCACCGACGGCTAGCAATCAGACAGCACTAGATTTATATGAAGGTAAGTGTACTTTATTTCTAAATGTTTTTATAAGCACATAATAACTAGGTGCAAGACACAAACAATAATTATATTTCAAATATATGGTATTCTGTTTCGTTCCGTATTTTACTGAATTCATTAAAATAATATAATGGCATTTTACCGGCATAGTGTGTGAGGTCAAAAAACATTGCTAATTATAAATGATCTTAGCAACTTACCCTCACCACAATGTAGCTTGTAATTTAAATAACTTTAGCCTTTCTAATAGGTTGCCAAATGCAAAATTATTATTCAAATTAGACCGGTTGCTCTTGAGATTAGCACATTAAACAAACACTTCATTTGGTTTTAATATATTTATAGGCCTTCTAAAAGACATTGAGTTTGTGTACTCACATACCAAAATGACTTAAAAGTATTAATATTAATATTATTTACTATTTCAGGAGCACCGGAAGGCTGTTACTATAACTTTCAGCACTACGGAGAGGGCGACCGAATAATGACGAACGAACCTTGTCTCAACTGCACGTGCCACAACCGAATGTTAATGTGTTACTTGAGGGTTTGTCCCTTCACGAAGCCTATTGGACAGGATTGTACTGTGGAGAAACGGGCCGACCAGTGCTGTCCCATCGTCACTTGCCCTGACGGTAAATAACACAAAATATATGAATAATCATAAAGTTTTAAGACGCGTGCAAATTATGATGATTTTTATTAAATAACGGTACTTCGTTCCCCATTTAAATAAAAATGTAACTTGTATGTTATCGAAACATTGTCTCGCTCAACTTTCAATGGAAACTACATATTGAATAGTAGGTACTTGCAACGAAAGTATTTTCTCTTGAAGTATTATTTTGAAAGCGACTCGTCCCTTATAGCGGGACATAAGTGTGTGCTGTGCATGCTACTATAAAGGAATTAAAGACCTATGTATTTTTTTTTTAAATTTGATTTCTTAATGTTAAAAATATGTTTTTTTTCAGTACCAGTTGACTTGCTGACGTCTACCTCTACATCTTCGCCAGCGGAGTACGGAGCTACTGGAGTGGGCCATCAAGACAAATATGGTTGTAGCATTAATGGCAGATATTTCTCTGAAGGGTCTAAAGTGCCATCAACACCTAACAAGCCTTGTGAACATTGTTATTGCATTCGAAACATGACCACGTGTGTGATGCAAGAGTGTACCTTACACGTTGATGGATGTGTTCCTATTTATCACAAAGACGTTTGCTGCCCTGTCAGATACTCATGTGGTAAGCACATTTAGTTAATTTTAATGTTACAAAAATATAAATATATATATATGTTGGTCTTCCATGAAAATAAATAAATAAATAAATAAGAAAGCATCAGTAGCTTAACAAAAATTTTTCAATTCCAGATCACCCAGAAGATGACATTAAACTTTTGGATGATATGACCACAACTGTACGACCAACTCCTGGATTTTTACTAACCACAACAACGTTGTCTCCGGTAACGCAAGTATCACAGGATTGTGTGCATGATGATCAAATATTCGCTGATGGTGCATTAATTAAAACTGAAAAAGCCTGCGAGCATTGTTATTGCATGAAAGGTGATATAGTGTGCGTTGTACAAGAATGTGGAACTCCGATGGAAAATGAAGGCAAAAATTGTACTTCACTTCCACCGCGTCAAGGACAATGTTGTCCAGATACCTATATTTGTGAAGGCGATGAGTTGCCCACTGAACAAACGCTAGAACCCACAACTGAAGAAATTCTAAGGTCAACATCTATAACACCTCCCAGAAAAGGTGTCGAAGGCAGTGGTTATAGAAACGAGCCCGATGAACCTTATACCGATTTACCAATATTTGATACTGTTGAAGTAGAAGGCAGTGGTGAAGATCAATCTACACAATCTATCGATCAATCTGAATCAGTAACTCCGGAAAAACCAACACCAGACTTTGCTGATGAAATGTTATTAACAACTGCCAAGCAATTCGAGTCCAAACCCACAAGTGCAACTGAAATAGATATTGATACTATGGTTACAAAATCTGATACATCGAATGATGAAACAACACCTTCACATGACACTGAGGATGACTTAGTCACAGAGTCTACAAAATTAGATGATCAAGAAGAAAGTAAAACGGTCTCTCAAAATGAGGTTACAGAAACAACACATATTGAATCTCATGAGACCGAAGTTACCGTAAAACCATTATTAACGACATTGAGTGATTTCATTTCTTCTACTTTCGGTGAAGGTCTCATTCCTGTAGAAGATAAATCCGATAAGACTACAGAATCTTCATTTAGAAAAGAAGACGATACTTCAGCTGTACCTGAAATAACAACTCAAAAGTCTTATGATGCATTGATAACTGAGAGCGAATACTATGAACAGAAAGAAACTAAAGAAGATGTTATACCTACAACAGCTGCATCTTTAGTTCCTGGCGAAGTAGATGATAAGAAAGAACAATCATTAGTAACAACAACAGAAATTGTCATGACGGCTGATACCGATAAAGATACAACTGAGAAAGTAGATTCGTATAGTTCATCAACTACGATAAGAATAGAAACAACTAGTCTTAACCCAACGGAAAATGAAGTTGACGAAGAAATAATGCCTATAGTTTCTCCCGGAAGAATTCCTGGGGAAGGAGACTGTCTTCTGAACGGCATTACATATCAAAACACTACAGAAGTACCTAGTACGAATAAATGTCATACCGGTTGTAGATGTGTTAGTAGTATTATCAAATGTGATCCCATCATTTGCAGTGCACCGCCGGAATATGCAAACATGAATAATTGTAAACCTATATATGACTCAGCAGAATCCTGTTGTCCCACTTATATCTGTGATCACACGAAGGAAGATACATTACCAGAATCCCACAGTCAAATGTCTGGTACAGAAAGTCCAAAACCGACTAAAAACGATGAATGTATTGGAGACAAATGTTTAACCGATGAAGATAAACACACTTTAAGCCCAATTCCATCTGAACCATGTACCACTGAAAATTGTGATTTACCTGAAAAACAACCTGTGCTACCAGAATGTGGTAAGGATGGGTGTATCGATACAGTTCCTGTGGTCCCCGAATCTCCTGCAAAATGCGACAAAGAAACAGGTTGTCAAGTAACTGCTGTCACACCTTGCGAAGGTGACAATTGCAAAGATTTCATAACTCCAGAACCCGATACTCACATCTTGTCGCCAGATAACCAAGCCGATGCTATTGAAAAAGAATGCAATAATGACTCTTGCAGGCGTAAAGAACATCCTCAGGATGCTATAATATTCCCCTCTTCATGCGTAGGTCCACAATGTGAAACTAACGCTCAAACTGATTTCATAACATCAGATATAACAAGTGAAATACCGATTGTCTCTGAAGAGGTTACCAAAATAAGCCATGTACCGATCACCATTTCTGCCGAATCACAAACAACAAGAACTGAAGAGAAATTTACTACTTTAGTAGAGGAATCAACTTCTAAGTATGACAGTACAAGTAGCAAGATTGACGTTGAAAAACAAGAACTTACAACCGAGTCTGTTCAATTTATTGACGAAGTATCTAGCACGGGTATTACTAGAGAACCGGAGACTATTACAACCGAACACCCTAAAGTTGAAGAAATTCCCGATAATTCGTTTAACGGTGAATTACATGGCACAACCATAGCTGAAACAGACAAAGAACATTTGACCACTTCCCACGATTTTGAAGCGCCGCAACCTACAATATCAGATGAAAAAACTGAATTACAACAAACTGTTCAAGACCTAGGAAAAGATTTTACTACCTTGCCTCAAACCTCTAGAGTAGAGGAAACTCAAGGAATTACTAAATCTGAAGAAGATAGACGAACAACAATGTCTCAGGAAACTGCTGGCCCTAGTGACAAGTCAGAAACGACAGCTGACCAAGATAAGGCAACAGGAATTGAAGTACACTATGAAACAACACCTGTATATATTGGAGATTCGGCCACAGTAGAGACTTATACCACTGAATCAGTGGTCAATAAAGAAAAAATAGATAAACAAGATACAGAAAAACTATCAACAGCACAAGATAGCGATTACATAACTGAAATTTCGAAGGTTAGCAAGGATGAAGATGTTACAACTCCAGAGTCAGTTAGGGAATATTCCACAAGTTCACCGCAATCTCAAAGCATTGAAGAAAAAACGACAGAAACTTCTATAGAAACAGAAACAGAAAAAGTAACAACTAATTTGCTGGACGAATCGCCAAATATCATAGCTAAAGACGAAAGTACTACATCGGTTTCCGATATTTCAGTAGTTACAACTGGCCAACAATCTGTAACCGAAAGGGCTGAAGAAGCAGAAAAAGATGAACAACCAACTGAACAAAGTATTGAAAACACTAAAGAAGATGAAAGTACACAGGTTTATAATAAAACGCCAGCGGACCAATATGACATAAGCAGTGTTACTCCGGACTCAGATAAATATAAAAAAGATCAACCAAAATCACCTGAGATAGTATATACTACGGAAAATCCTATTTTGGATGTCAAAGAAACAATCAAGGAAGAGTCATCAACTGACCAACCAGTTACTGACAATGTGGTTATCGATGAAATAACTCATCCATCCGGACAAGATCAAATGGAATCCTTGAATGGAATGGCGACAGAAGGCCCTGATGTACATGAACAAGATAGTTTACAAACTATGGCACAGGACGCAGATTTACACACGACTGTGCCAGCAGAAGCAGCCGTCACCAGTAGTGACGAAAAACATTTGGAAACAGTAACCACTGAAAAATCGTTTGAACAAGAAATCAAAACAGAGACACCAAAGCAGTATGAAACCGAAACTATTAAAGTAGTAACTGAATCCGTTACAGCAGAACCAGAAAGAGGAGATGGAATATCAGAAGATGAAAAACTTGATGATGATAAGGAACAGATGTTCACTACAAATGTAGTAAGTGAATTCACAACAGTAAGAGTAGACACTCCGGAACAAACTGTACAAGAAGATGTTGAGGATCACAAAGAAGGAATAACTAATGAGGTAACTCCAACACTGGACCACATTTCTAGCACCGAGACCATTAAAGATACTACAGAGGTTAATACCGAAAGTAATTCGGTTACTTTAGCAGAAACACATAATGCACAATCTGATTCTACAGACACATTATCTTTTGTCACTGAAGAGTCGACTCCAGAACGGCAGGTTGAGTTGACAACGACTAGTCTTTACCCAAGTGAAAAGGAAACAACCGAAGATGCTGAAGGTTCAGGTGACATAACTAAGCAACAAGACGACCTAGACGAGCAACAGACATCTAAACCAACAAAAATACCAGAGGATGTCCTAACTGAAAAACAAGACGTACCTTTGTCGATTACAACAGCACTACCCGATATATCTGATAATATTCTACATACTACCTTACTAGAAGAGCACATTGCTACGCAGTCACCTTCATCACAAGTTACAGAAAATATTGAACAGGATTCTTTACCTACGAGACGTGTCGCAGATCACAATACAGAAGTAACAGTTTCTATAGGAGAAGAAAGTACAACTAAATCATCTCTATTAACTGAAACAATCACCGATAAGTCTGTTTTAACAACAAAAGCTAACGAAATACCCGAGATAGAAGAAGAAAAGGTCACAATTCCAACGCATACTACTGATTTCTACAAAGAAAGTCAAACTACCAAAATAGATCTGATTTCAGAAGAAGACTTTAAAGAAAAGACAACCATGCTACCTGAAGCAGTTACATCAGATCAACATATTACCAACGCGGTAACTCAGAAAGACCCCGAAATAACAATTATGGAAGAAACAAAACCAACAGAAACCCCAGAAAAATTAACATCAAAGGCTATTGTTACTGAACTAGAAGCAGTTACTGAAAAACTTTCAACGTCAGACCTGATAAAGAGTACCGAAGAACCGGAAAAAACTACATCTGAGCAAGATTACACAGAACCTATAATTGAAAATGTAACTACTGTAGAAGATAAATATGAATCTACAGTAACACCTGATGCAGAATTACCGAGTAAATTAGAGACAGAAAATCCCGAATTAACGCAAACTGTTCAAGATATTTCTAGAACAACGGCAGTCCCAGATTTACAAGTTACAGAATCACACATAGATTTAGAAAAAACAACAATTAAAACAATCGAAACAAATATTGATTTAGATGAAAATACCGTAAATATTGAAGATTTATATATTACTAAAGTAACTGAATCCCCCGCCAAAGTTACTGAAACATATGACGTTCAAAAACAAACACTCTCGCCTGAAACATTTGCAACTACACAGCAGGAACCTTTGCTACATGAAACGACTGTACCTGAAATACAATATGAGGAAAAAACTACAGAGAGTGCGGAGAAAATTGGGTACCCAGAACAAATTCCAACGGAGTCTTCAGAATATCCATCTAAACCATCGGACATCTCTACTGTTGAGGACGGTGGAATATTAAGTGACAAAACACAAGAAGAGGTGACTTTACCTGAAGTGATTACGGAATCTGTTATAATAACTACTGAATCACCAAAAATAGAAGAAAACGTAAGAGATACTGAAACTACAGATGAGAAAACAACTGAACAACCTTTGGTTCACATAGATGATGCTGAAAAAGAAATTGATTTAGCAACCGATAAGCCATTAATGCAGGACCATGTTTCCGAGAAACTACCTGAATCTAATGCCTTCGAAGAAAAAGCAACCGAAGAGCCTTTAATGGAGGAACACGTTACCGAAAAACTACCTGAATCTAATGTCTTCGAAGAAAAAGCAACCGATAAGCCTTTAATGCAGGACCATGTTACCGAGAAACTACCTGAATCTAATGTTTTCGAAGAAAAAACAACTGAAAAGCCCTCCGTAAATGCAGACGACCTCGAAAAAGATGTAGATTTTGTAACTGATACGCCTATGATACTGGAACATGTTACAGAAAAAGAAACAGGATCTCATATCTTCAATGAAAAAATACCTGAAGAGCCTATAAAAATAGAAGAAGCTGAAAAAGAATTAGATTATACAACCGACTTGCCTATGATACTCGAACATGCTACTCAGTCACTCCCAGAATCTCATGTCTTAGGTGATTCAGGAAAAACACCTCCTGCTGAACAAGCTGTTACAGAAATACCAGAATTTGTCACAGGCAGTACTAAAGAAAGTGATGAAGTTGGTGACATTCAAGAATATTTAACAACTGAAAAGCCTGAAAAGTCTACTTTAGCGAGTGCAACAGTTATTTCTGAACACAAAGATACGACAACAACTGTTTCATCGGAAGTTTTCATCCCTATAGAAACTTCTTCGTATCTACCAGATAAAGGCATAGAAACTGAAGAAGGTACCACAGTTAGCGACGAAAAGTCCCCTGGAACTGAATCTAAGCCAGTTGAAAGTACTATTTTAACTGAATTACCAGAACTATTAACGACTTCAAAATCCGACGAAGATTTGGGTAAAGTGGATCTCACAGAAGCTACAGAATCATCAATTTCTGAGGTTGATAGTAAGACGTCGGGTACTACACCTATTGTAGACTCTGTACCAACTTACATTTTACAGGAAACAGATATTGAAAAACCGACTACCGATGAGCCTCTTTTAATCTCAACAACTTCTAATGAAAACGAAAAATTAGAAGGTACAACTCAAAAGATAATACATGAGAAAGTTACAGAGATAATAGAACCAAGCACCGTTGAAGAATCACAAGAAACCACATCAGAACGAGAACTAGATACTGTTAAGATAAATGCAAATGGAGAAGATAAGACCATCGCCTATATACCAGAACAATATACAGAAATGCCCGAGCAAATATTTACAGAAGTTCACAAATCTCCGAGTGAATCATCTGAGAGTGATATAACTGTAACGGAAATATCACAAGGCGTCACCCATTCTCCCGATAAATACACAACAAATATTGAAGAAGAACAAACCTTTACTCATGAAAAACATGAACATTTCACAACAATCGCGGAAAGCTTGATTACTCAAGAAGTCGAGACAGGAACAGTTTTACCTACTACTTTGAGTTCAGAAAAAACAACGCAAGAAATTGAAATTAGTGAAGCTCAATCAGGTTCTACCATAGCACCTGAATTACACAAATATACTACTGGATCGAATGATAATGCTACTCCTACATTGATCGAACAGACTGTAAGTAAGGAGACTGTGCAAACAGAACCAGTAACGGTTATGACGCCACGTGACGAATATACACAAGACCATGAAGTAATTAGTGACACAAAAGAAACAAAACCAGATTATTACACTACAGAGAAAATTGAGATAAGCACGCAGGGCGACATTGAAGCATCTACATCAGTTGCTACGGAATCTAGCTTATTGGAATCTAAACCAACCAGTGAAAGCTCACCTCAACCACAACATACAGAAGAAACATCTGAGCAAATAGTTGAACATTCAGAATCTACTCCATACTTCGTTGAATTAGAAGAACATACGCATAAAGGAATAGAAGAGACAACACCTGAAGTTTATCACGAAGATACAGCTTCAACCACATTACCTGAAATTCTTTATCCTGGTAAACTTCATGACGAAATAACAACAGTAAAACAAGAAGCAGAAGAAGCAACGGAAATAACTACTGAAGGACACAATGTTGATGAATCATTAAAAATAACCACCGAAAAGCAAGAAATTGACGAATCAACGATAAAGGAAGCTGTTGAAACTGCAACATCTGGTTCTTCTCATCCAACTCATGATGACAAAATAACAACATTATCGCCGTTACCTACTGAAATTGAAACCGACGTTTCCAAACTGAGCACCGTTTCATATGATAAGGATGCATCAACATTCATTCCAGTAGTAACCACAACAACTTACGAAGAAGCAGAAACACCTAAACAAGAAGAGCCTGCATCAGTCATAGAGAAGGAAAAGGAGAGCGCCCCCGTTAAACCAACTGATGCGATACCGTCCTTACAGGAGACAACGGCGCCTGAGGAAGAATTTATTCCTGCTGTAACACAAGGTACAACTAGTAAAACGACAGAAGATATAACGACCCTTTCACCCACTCATAGTCACAAATTTACTCAACCGGAAGAAAAGCCAATTGAATCCTTACCGTCAACATCTCCTCCAGAATTGCAGAAACCTGGTTTTAACGAAATGTTACCAACAGATGAAATACCTCCAACAGATGAAGACAGTCATTTCCCACCTACCGGTAGCAGTGGGTATGGCCAAGAACCAGATTATGGAGAAGAAGATCAAGCATTTGGACCTGGTACCTGCCGATATGGGGGCAAAGTATACGTATCTGCTCAACAAATACCTAGAGATGATCCTTGTGATTTCTGTTTCTGCTTTAGAAGCGATATTATTTGCTTGCAACAAAGCTGTCCTCCACCTATTCACGGTTGCCATGAAGAACCTATTCAAGGATTCTGTTGCCCACGCTACGAGTGTCCAGTTTCAATGGCAACTACTCTTAACATCACCACGACAACGACAACAACAACGACAACATTACCGCCTCACTTCCTGCCCCACGCTTACAAAGGTGCTGCGCAAAGACGGGGATGTCAAATAAAGGGACATACATATAAAGTAGGAGAGGTGGTACGCGCATCATCGGGACCATGTTTACATTGCACGTAAGTTTTTCTAGTTGCTTATTAATTAAATAGACACTAACTATTCTAATTTTAATATTACCAAGAAGACATTGCAGAGTTGACTTTTAAAAACTAAAACAATTAATAAATATTTCCAGATGCGGCGGAGACGGTCAGATGAAATGCGATCCGAAGGCGTGCACCCCGGAGCCGATGCTGCGGCAGATGATAGCGGCGGCCGTGTCGGCCAAGCGCCGGAGGTGAAATGCCCCCGCCCCTTCTTCAATGATCATCACATCACAGGCTCAACAGCCTATGTGATCATTTACGTCTGTTCTCCTATGCACAAGAATAATGCTCAAATTTCGCGACGGAGTAGATTAAGATTTCGTGTCATATGTAGTAATTGATTTAATTATTATTTAATTTACTTTTCATAAAGCGTCGTGGCACGTTCGACTCGATATTGATGAATTACGAATCAACCGTGACTGTGATTACTATTCATTAAAATATTTTGGTAATTCTTACCACTTATTTTTACATTTTTCTGATTAACAAAACAATTATAATAATTAATCGAGACTATTGAAAAAGTCAGTGCCAAACGGTAGTGCTAGATTGTAAACACCTTTATGATAAATAGATTCTAAATTTAATGAATTTAACATTTATAAAAGTAAATATAGTGACCGATAGATTAAAAGGATGCTGTTTTAGCAATAGGTATCTAAAAGGAATATCAAACTGTATCGGTCACTGCAGATCGCCGAAATCTTGACCATTTACAAACTTAAATTGTTTACCGATATAAGTTTAGTCAATTCTTTGTGTCGACACGATGTTACTACTGCAACAGGTCTAGTATCGTGTAAATGCAAAGTTCTATAAGAATCCCTGATATTGTAAATGCCTTACTTAATTTGTAATAATTTATGTATTTTAGGTGTATAGTACTTAAGCCATGTTTTGAGACCAGTGACTATTTTTATTTAGAAATAAAACGGAGGCCCTCTAAGATGTACCCAGAAAAGTATCAGTCGACGCGCGCCCCCTGGCGGCCTTGGCCGGTGCTTTTCCTAAATCGCGTTTTACAGAAAGCGACACATTATTTTCTTGTTTTCTGTAACTCGTTGAAGAGTAACAAATTTTACTAGCACTCATTTAGTAAAAGTGGCCATCATTTTTAATCGTTTTGTAAAAAAATACGCGTCTAAAACGATAAAAAAGTAAATTGTAGTATATTTTATAACTTTTGATAATAAAGTGCTGGTAGATTTTATAAAATATAAAATCAAACAGATCGAGGTGGGTACGGAAGTCGCAGGCTGTTGTAATCGTTATAATAGTAGATGTAAGCGAACGGTTGCATTAATTCGTACCGATCTCTTTCTGTCTTCGCAGGTTGTAGTTATATTTTGTCTTATTTATTTAAATTTATAGCAATAGCGTTAATTATTATTGGTACTTTCATACTGGTAATGATTTCTACTATTCGAAAAAGTTGACCGCAGTGTATAGAGTTCAACATTTACCTAATTCTTATTTTATTATTTCCTCGTGTCTTGCATGCACCGGATGCACAGGACACGCGTAGCTAAGGTCTAGCAAACTGTACAACTACGAAAGTAAATTTAAATAAAATCCTTACAACACAATCTACATCTTTTTATTTCATCTTAAACATTATAAGCGTAAACTTATTTAACATAAAATATGGATTAAAAATATAAAAGCTGAAAACAGGCAGATCTCTCTGAGCGTTGTCTCTAAAGTTCGCGACCTCTCTTTTTGACAAATATTTCGTAGGAAACGCTTTAGATGATTTAATTAAATAACCTATATTCAGTTAATTCCTGTTTGTTTACATAAACAGCGTCATCTACTATACATAAAGATCAAGTTACACTTCGATTTTCTCGTTCCCTAAATTCTAATATCAAAACTTACAAAAACAATTAGCAGTAGCCACGGATATAAAGCATTTAGATAAAAAAAAATTCAATTCGAAAACTTTGTCGCAGTAAGTAAGGATCCGAGAACCGGAATTTTGGTTTCCTGTCGATAAATTCGGTAAATTAAGCATTCTCAATCATGCGTAGCTAACCATCTTCTTAAAATTCTCAGTTAAAATTAAAAATTCTCAGATTTGTTTTGTAGAACTTTAAAAAAAACGTAGAAAAAGATAAATTGCTATAAGCTGTTGTAATCCCCAATTTTCTTTTAAAAAAATAATTACTTATCTCTGAGTTACGAAAAGTTGCTTACTAGTAAACTATTACACTCGTAGGTATAAAACTTTACAGTTATTGGTATACGAAAGCAACCCAAAACTTGGTACATATAGCGCCATCGGACGGAGCTTTTAGACACTACTAAAACGCGGTACCATGACATGGCTTCAAACACATTGTATTCTTACAGTGTTACGAGCGGGATACGTTAGGTGGCGTGGCATGTTTCATTTTAAGTTTTCATACTTTTCCAACCAATAAATAAATTAAATAAATGACATTAATACATTGTACGTTTATGTCTTTTAAATTAAAAATAGGTAGAGTTTATTTACCATTTACATTTTTACATTTTAAATTATTTAAACTATTTAACATAAATTAATATTTAAATAAGCGATAAAATCAGTTACAATCGACGATATATTATCAGAAATACTTGTGTTAATGACCTGAGTTATTTATTTTATATTTGTAAACTAGTTAAACGTAAAAATAAACAATCAACGAGATATAAAAGTCAAGGAATCATTACGAAGCAACTCGTCTTTAAATATCAACAAAATTAACAGAAAATCGTCTTAAACTACCTGTACAACCTACATATTCAAACAGTGTAAATACCTGTTCTTGAAGTTGCTCCTGCAACTCTCTTCGACTTTTCTACTTTTTGTTTAATAATCATAACATGGAAATACCATACTTCGTGCTCCAACTAAATCCTAAATTATAATTACACAATAATGTTTACTAATGCTATAAAACATTAAGTTACCTAAATAATTATACAGAAATAAAATGTATTCAAGCATAAAATACATTGATTTCTAAACACATAATTATTGCGATATTTTATTCTTAATAAAATAAAACACCCTACAAATCCATGTATTTAATTAAAAGTTTAATTATAAAAGGCCTTGTATTCTTTACTTGAAACTTCGGCAGTACGAGTTTAGCTTATTTTCCATTTAATTTAGTAAAAACGTAGAGCAACTATGTAATTTTAAACCATAGTATAACCTGTATTAAAATCAATATTCGTTTAAATGTAGAACATTCATATTGGAATATCCATATTATCTCAACGAGCTATTTGTTACCTATGTAGAAATATGTACCCTCAATTTGAATAACTCTGTCTCTTTCGCGCAAGCACGTAGTAATGGCAACCGTTTCACTCTATCCCATTACTTTTATATTGTTCGCTAACTTTCTTGTTTGTATAAGCAAATACACGTATTTGAAAGTTTGTATATTTGTGAGTTCTATTGTAGATACCATAATAGGTACACTTTTATATTTAGAATTTTAAATGGATAGTTGTTTAAATTATATGTTTAGTTGTTAGTTTGTTCGTCTGGTTTATTAGAATATGTTAAATGACTGATAGATTTGACCTTGTATTAACTCAATTCACGTCTCAATGCCCTTATGATTGAATAGTTGACTGTCTAGGGTTCCAGATTCAATATTCAGATGTAGCAAAATGTGTGGTTTTCTCTCTCCCTTTCTCTCCATCCATCCATCTCTCTCTTTTCCTTCTCTTTACATCATCTTCCATCAATGATTTAGCCTTAATAAATTCACATATGGATCATATTACTTTTTCATAAAGCTTTGTCTGTTTTTGGTTTAATGTTTATGTGACTTCATATATCTCATACAATTCTTATCATCCTAGGCTACATTAAATACGAACGATATAAAAATGAGGGCGATGTAAAAATTATTAAAATATTCAATAGGTCTTTAAGACAGACAAGAACTAAACGAAATCACATGAACATTGCATAATAAAGTAATAGCAAATAATTTGAATGTAAGTACCTAGAAAGCGACGGGTTAGGACTTTTATTCCCATGACACACATATAAAATTGTAAATATTCCATTCGTATGGAAATTAGATGCAGATACTTTATCACCCTTCTGACTTATGTTAGTGTAGCTAATGTTTTAGATTATTTAAATTAAAAGCACAAAACGCGATCAATATTTTGTGTTGAATTTCTATTAATTGTTATTATTAAAAATCCGTGCCGACGTTAAGTTTGGGCGCGGTTCGACTAAAACACAACTTGCTATAGATAAAGGGCGCAAACGCCACAGAAAAGCAAAGTAAAAAAGGGGGCGCCATAGTTATCTAGCCCAGGGCGCTAGTAGCGCTAATAATTAATTAATTCATATACTTGCCAGATTAACGAGCGGCTTGCAGAATTCAATTCTGAAGGTAGAACACGGTAACTTATTCTCCATTGTGGACGTGCGTATGTCGGAGATAATAAACTAACAATCGTAATATAACACAGTCACTCAATCTTTAGTGAAAAGTACAAAACGATCTAACCGTATTGTAAAGATTTACTTCACCAAATAATTTTATACTTGCGCACAACCAAAGCGCATCATTCCACCATTTAATGACAACTGTCATCAGTTTATGTCATCAGGGTTGTCCAACTCAAATTACAACACTAATTAAAACAATTTTATTGGATGCCAGCACTTAAAATTGTCATTTTTAATTTAATCGTTCAAAAATTAACAATCATTTAGCACCGTTATCCTTATATAGATATAATTGAATTCAGCCAGTAATGTCTAAAGAATTAGTAATAAAAGGCAACAAAACTGATAAATCTTTAGCCATTTTCCGGGCCAATGCTTCCTCGTTTTATGTACAACGATGTCGTAAACAATATCAATATGAATATCCCCGAAGAATTATTTACTATTACATAATAACTACATAGATTCACAAAATTACTCTAGTAAACTATTTTGCTACAACAATAATTTATGTTGATTACTTCACATTTGTAACACGCAATGTATCGTTATTTTTAATTAGTGTCAAATACGTTTACAAAACGACGTAATTTTAGCTAATATTAGTAATACTATTGTTTTATGGCTTTAGTTAATAATTTCTTTAAGATATATTTAAAATATTTATGACATTTAGTATATTTATAGGTTAGTTAATGAAAATTCTGTTGCCAAAGAAATAACCTAAATAAAATTTAATTGTTCCTTTGTGAATAATACATTTACAACTACAAAATACATTAAAAATGTATACGCAACTTTAAATTGATAGCAACTACAAACTATTTAGACAATGTTTAAATATCTGCCGTCTGGGAAACTTCATAAGAGGTCAATGCCCTCTGGACGTGGGTGTACCTTTGATGTATTGGATTGAAGATAAACAATACAATAATAAACATCGCAGCTTACATCTGGAAATAAAAAGATTCAACTAATAGTTGAATTTTTTATATCATGCAGTTTGTTACGATTTACTTTAAAAAAATTCTAGATCGCATTATAATGATTTTAATATGTAAGTTAGTTAATTAGTCTGGTACTTTAAGCACATATTAGTTATTTTTAAATGTTTATCAAGAATACTTTACAGTTTAAAATGAACGTAATCACATTCTGTCGAATTACTGATAATTGTTATTGAATACATAGTTATTTTTAGGAAAAAACTCAATTAACTTTTGTATAAGTTTAAAACAAGAGTAAAGTATCATCGTGTTGGGTCGTGACTGAATTATAATTCCAGCGAGCATTCTTATTTGTGGAGCCTTGAGCATAAAGGTTCAATTGAGTTCGCGTTTTATCGCCAATACATTTAATATGCATTGCCAACGGAGCGTGGAAACCATTGCATGTTGTGTTATGAATCTTTTGCATAACTTTAAAACTAATTTTCATTAATTCTAACATACACTACTTATTGAGAACACTTTTTACTTACCTATTACAAGTAATTAATTTAAGTACTTAACAAGCTTTCACTTTTTTTTAAGTCTAAACAAAATATAACTTATTAGAGAGTAGATCAAACACGATATCCTATATTAAATTCTGATAAAGTTAAGTGGCTTTAAAAATCTAATACTAAACAAAAGCACACTTAAAAGCAACAATTTTCACGTAAAATTTTCCTTTCTGCCGCAAGCTGCGAGCAGCTGAGAATTGTGTGAATTCAAAGATAAGGTTTCTTTAAAATTTTCACACGATCTTCTTATTTGAATTTTCCTTGTTACAGATAAAAATAACGTGTATATTGCAATTGCCGACGCGCTATGAATATTTTTAAGTGTCAAAGATATTCCATAATGTTTAAACCACAGTGAAAATGTTGAAATAACATATAAATCATCCAAGGAACATAATTAACTTACGTTAAATAAATATTTCTTTATTATATATACCATGAAATAATATTATACGCCAAAAGGTTTTAGATTAAAGCTAATTAAAATACAATAGCAGAGCTTTAAATCCAACTTAAGCTCTCGAATGGACGAAATAGTGTAATTTCATAAAAACCGTACAACGATTTAAATTAAAACCAAAAAATGATATTTCGTTTGAAAGATTTGATCAAACTTTCTGATTGGAATT